GTGGGGGGGGGGGGGGGTTTGATCCAGGATAGGGTACCCGAGATAAACCAACTGTTACCACCACTGCCTCTTTTTCTCCCGCAATTGGTACTTTGAAACCCACATACATCTGATTACACCTTTGGAACTAACAATATATTTATGACTTTTTTAAAGATATTTCTTTTCTTTATTTTTTAGCCACAGACAATAGACTCACTGTTGCGAGGCTGCATCGGGGAATTCCTGAATACCATACATGATCCAGATTTGAATGTGCGTCGGGTGGCATTGGTGGCTTTCAACTCGGCAGCTCACAACAAACCGTCTCTGATCCGAGACCTGCTGAACACCATTCTCCCCCATCTGTATGAAGAAACCAAAGTCAAGGTAACACATTAGTATTTATCTATTCTTTTATTTATTTGTTTGTTTGCTTATTAATTTATCCATATAGATTATGATTTGCCTTTTCACATGGCCTTTTCAAAATTGAATTGTCTGTGTCATTTTATTGTCAGTGTTTTTTATCTTTTTTAAAGTAATGTAAAGTGCAGTGATATTTTATGGAAAGTTATGTGCCATGAGAGAATTCCGTATTATTATTATTATTATTATTACATTTAGTTTAATTATTATACCTTACCACATTCAAAGGTTATTTTTCCTCTTTAACAGAAAGAGTTGATCAGAGAAGTAGAAATGGGGCCCTTCAAACACACAGTGGACGATGGGCTGGACATCAGAAAAGTAAGTGGACACTCATTCTGTTTTCCATACACCAGAGAGATTTTCAAGATCANTACTTCAGACACCAGAGAGATTTTCAAGATCACAGTGCTGCGCCATGAGAAAATGCAATAAACAATAAAACTTTTACAGTATTTAAACAAGTGTCGGGTCTTAAAATAAAAGAATCTGTGGTGGAATTGGTCTTTCTGTTACAAAAATACCCTATTTTTGGCCTGTAGACCTACTTGGCTGTGCCACAGGTAAACACTGTAAGGGGGCACAGGTTAATTTGAAGTTGTAATGCCTTCACCCTGATTATCCTGAAAAATTCATTAAAATATATGAACTTAAAGCTTTTTTGAGAAATCTTATTCACTGTTCAGCACAATACAAAATAAACATAGATAGAAATGTAATTACCTTTCTTGGTGAATGTATAATCTAGACAGTTTTCAGGTGCATGAAGCTATATTGTCTGTTTGTTAATAAGTTCTCTTTGTCTTCTGTTCTGCACTGATACTTAATAATAATAATAATAATCTGATAATATAGTCTTAGAATTTCGAAATTTTTGTGTCCTTTTTACATGATACCCCCTTTTTTGGTTTCTGTATTTTCGTGTTATCTGTAGTACATATTGAAAACATGGTGATGATTATGCAGTCAAACATCTAATATGGCATCAAAATTGACAAAAAAAAAAAAAAAAAAAAAAAAAACTATTTTCTACCTTGTCATTATATCCTTCTGCATGTTTGTGCATTGGACAGCTTTGTTGCCTTTTTCAATGACCTCCTCTATGTTCTAGGCAGCATTTGAGTGCATGTACACTCTCCTAGATGCCTGCATGGACAGACTGGACATCTTTGAGTTCCTGAACCATGTGGAGGATGGTCTGAAGGACCACTACGACATTAAGATGTTGACCTATCTGATGCTCATCCGCCTTTCTCACCTGTGTCCGAGTGCTGTGCTGCAAAGTAAGTCGTTTTTTTTTTCATATTTTATTCATTTATTTAATTGTTTTTTTTTGTTTATTTATTTATTTATTTATGTATTTTTTAATTCCAGAGGTACCTATTTAGGTTGATTTAAAATTATTTTACCTATAATTGTTGTTTTTAATGTTTTACCTTTTGCATAGTTTTACCTTAATTTTAGAAAATTTTATTTGTCTTTGTGTAAGAGAATGACAAAAAAGCCCAGCATTTATTTTGAGTGAATTGAGCGATACTGGCCTTCATAAATTTCCATCAATTCTCCAGGAATGGACCGGCTCCTGGAGCCGCTTAGGTCCACGTGCACCACCAAGGTGAAGGCCAATTCCGTGAAGCAGGAGTTTGAGAAGCAAGAAGAATTGAAACACTCTGCAATGAGAGCGGTTGCCGCACTACTGGCAATTCCAGATGCAGGTATGTAGGGTGGGTGGAGCCACTGTCTTTTTACTGGCAATTCCAGATGCAGGTATGTAGGGTGGGTGGACCCACTGTCTTTTTACTGGCAATTCCAGATGCAGGTAGGTAGGGTGGGTGGACCCACTGTCTTTTTACTGGCAATTCCAGATGCAGGTAGGTAGGGTGGGTGGACCCACTGTCTTTTTACTGGCAATTCCAGATGCAGGTAGGTAGGGTGGGTGGACCCACTGTCTTTTTACTGGCAGTTCCAAACGGAGGTATAAAGGGTGCGTGTGTGTGTGTGTGAGAGGGAGGATTTATTGTCATTGGCAATGGTAGATGGAGGTATGTAGGGGGAGCCACCTCACTGTTGCCTTGTTACTGGCAATGCCAGATGCAGGTATAAAAAATTGGCAGCGGTCGGGGTTTGTAGTTTTTGCAAAGGAATGATGGTAAATGCTGCTTGTATGTTTATTGTTAAGACAATGACAAATCTATTGGAGATAAGGAAAAAGAAAAGGATGAAGACGTATTTTTTGTCCAATTTAAGTTCATATATCCATCCAGATAGTTTTTTTTTTTTTTAAGTTATAATTTTTTTAAATTTGTAATGTTATACTTTTTGTATTTATTTCAGAGAAAAGCCCTCTGATGAACGAATTTCTCTCACAGATCAAATCCAGTCAGGAGCTTCAGGGTGTTTTTGAGTCCATACAGAATACGGCATCAGAAACTTCCCTCATGGATACCAGTTAAACCAGACTGTGGAAAAACTTTATATACTACCAGAAAACTAGGGCGTGTGACACAGGGTTTTGAACCAGTTTCACAAAGGAATTTTATATTGAATGTCAGGCACAACTTTGAGATCAAAACTTTAGCCTGCGACGATAAATAGCCTAAAACGTTAGCCGTACCTTTCTTTTTATAAAACGAACCCATTATTTCATTTAAGTGGACTGCTACCGTTTTTTTTTTTTTTTTTTTTTTTTTTTTTTTTTTTGGATCAAAGAAGTCTTAAAATTTGTCTAAAAGTCAAGACCGGAGATTGGTCTTAGTTTAAAGTATTAAATCTATCCCTGCTCTAGCAGAAACAACTGAAATGGGCAATTTATAGTCAGAAAAACACGAATCACTTGGTCAAGAATGGCCTTGCTTTGTTTCATAAAATAAGATACCTCCTCTACTGAAATCTCCCTCGCAGACGCAATTGTAATGTTAAAGGAAAAACAAAAAATCATAGCTTTGTTAAAGGCCATCTTGTTTTATGGTCTTGGTGTATTTGAACGGTATAGTAACATTGAGAAAACCCCCTGTGGTGATTCGGGTAAAATGCGTGACAACCAGAGGGGAAGTTTATCCCAATAGAAACCAAGCCCATACTACCAACATTTGTTGTGCAACCGAAATGCTTGCAAAATGATTGTCTTTTGCTACCGCCACCAGTTTTAGCTATTAAAATGCAGAAAAATATTGAATAAAATTATATATTAAACCTGTGACATTTTACTGGTTGCATTAGGTGAACTATAAGGTGAATTGGGTGTTTGATAGAGAAGTTGAGGGAAAACGGTTCTGTCGATTGTTAGACGCGTATAAAACAGAAATCGAACAATTTTTTTTTGTATGCCCACACATCCTGCAGGGCGCATTATCTTTTGCAATCGGACTTTAAAAATGATAAAGCCTGTTAAATAAATGCACCTGATGTCGACTTTTATGTTTCTGAAATGCATTACAATAGGTGAATAGAAGAAAAAAGCACATGTCTCGAGTAACAATCGATTTTGTACAAAAATGTCGGATTGGATACCTGATGCAGCACTGATGCAAGGAAGACGGTGTATGTGTGCGTGTCTGTGTGTGTGTGTGTGTGTGTGTGTCACAGGCCCAGTCTTAATCTAGTCTATTTCCTAAGTGGCCCAGACCACATCCCAATTAGGACCTGGCCCAGACCACATCCTTATTGTGTATTTGCATTGTTACCATGACTGCATTTTAGGGGGAAAAACACCCAGTATATTGAAAGTAAGATAAGAGTAAAGTAAGAGTCTCTCTCTCTCTCTCTCTCTCTCTCTCTCTCTCTCTCTCTCTCTCAAATGCAGTGACATTTGGTCCGAATGAGAGGAAAAAATAACGTTCAGTATTCAGTAATGTGGAAATGTGTTGGGTGCCGCAGGCTGTAAAGACTGCCACAGCCTTAGGGGTTTCCATTTTTATCATCATTTTCACAAGTCTCAACTTTCATTTTTCAATGTTTCATACATGATGTGGTATTAATTCAATCAGTGCAAGATTGTCTGATAAAATTCACAAGGGAATCTAAAATGTATTAGTAACTTTAATGAATTATTTTACACCTAGCAGTGCTGTGAGTGAAGATGGTCATCGCCCGTTGCTGTGGGTGGAGGTGGTTATTGTTCATTGCTTTAGGAGATGATGGTCATCGTCCATGTCTGTTGGAGATGTTTGATCAGTGCTGTAGTACGAAGTTATCAAAGAATTTTTTTCATTCTATAAAATAAAAATAATATAAAACTGTGCATTGGAGCACACGAACAATACGTGGTGCTTCGATATGAAACTAGACAACTTTTGTGTTTTTAATCTCCAAATACTAAAAAAAAATCAAACTATTAAAGAGGCCGGGAACAAGATCTTATTATATAGTATATTTTATATTAATCATTAATAATAATAATAATAATAATAATAATAATAATAAATAAAGATTATATACATATAACACTATTAATACAATGGGAATCCCCTTGTAATGAAGGTAAAATAAATGTTATTCTAAGGAATTCCGATGGATTTACTTTTAAAACATAAAATCAATAGAACATTTCTAATATAAATTTTCAAAAAGACACCAGAGAGCAAATTAAATAAAATCAACCAGACGGTAAATACCGGCAGGCTTTGTTAATTTCACCAACTTGTTTATTTCACCTTTTCACCTTTCGCGCACGCGCAGTTGTTTGAAGCCTGTGCTGTGCATTGGTAGTTTTGATTTTTTACACACGTTGCCGCACTGAATCATTTTCCCCTAGGATAAAGGTTGCGTGCACGTGTTTGTATGTGTTTATTGGAACAGAATGCTCACAAAAAATCCTAACGTAACAGTTGATGGCTGAGGCTGATGGTCCAAGCCTATTGTAACTTTTTTGCAATTATGTCTTTTAAATTTTTGTATAAATATTTTAGAATGGGAATGTCGGGACGCCTTCTTTATTATTTGGGGGCATGTGTAACCGGCTGACAAGAAGTTACATATTTTCTGTCACTTGGAACGTGAGCGGGAGATATAAAAAAATAACAGAAATTGAAAACCATTGTGCCGTTTCCAAAAAAGATATAGCACTTGCAGGTTTCCATGGATACAGTTTAAAGTGAAGTGACGTTCCCATATGCGCACTTACTGTCTGAATAATTAACTCCAGGACTACATCTCACGATGTCTCTTACCTCAAAGGAGGTTATGTTTTTGGTTCCGTTAGTTTGTCTGTCTGTCTGTCTGTTAGCAACATTACAGAAAAAGTTATGGACCGATTTTGATAAAATTTTCAGGAACTGTCAGAAGTGGGCCAAGGAACAGATGATTAGTTCTTGGTGGTGATCCGGATCATTAATCAATCAATAATCAATAATAATCAAAAATTGTCTGCACTCTCGGAGTGTTTTTCTAGTTATATAATTAAATCCTAAAGGACTGCCCAGTCACTTAGACTGCCATGTACACCTTTCAGAAGGAAATATCCTGATCAGGTACTTTTGTTTGAGGGGTTTTATCATTTATGAATTGTGGATTGGGAAACATAATCGGTATCTTTGCAGGATATCTAGTAATAAATATATGACTTTGTCACATTTTTCAGATTTTGATTATTAAGTCTTTATAAGAACAGGTTTAAAATCTTATAAATGGCTTGGTTGATTTTTTTTAAAGAGCAAGTTCATCTTGGTACAGCCACTGTATTTTCACAATGAATGGTTTTGTCCTGTGCAAGTAAAATACAACAAGACAACATGATGTTATAAAATTAATCACCCATAGCGCTCATTCATTCATATGAACCATATCCATTATAAAAAAAAAAACACTATAATGAGACCACATAATCCGTGCCGTACATAAATGGCAAACAAGTCACGTAATGTAAAATAATGAAGAAGTCCTTTGTGACAGACCCATGATGTTCCTTTGTCCCCAGTGAAACTGTAATGATGCCAAACATAATAACTTGACGTGTGTCACGCCTGACAGGTACTTCACAATTCATCTGCCAGCGCTGCAGACGGGAAAGGACTAAGGAGGGCATGCTTAATGGTTTGTGGAAAGTCACANCTAAATCGTTATAGAATGAAAATTTAGTGGTTAAACGGCATTGGGTGGACACTTTACTGCTTTGGCGGAGGTCTGCGCTCTCGGAGTGCTTTTCCAGTTTGTTACAGACATAAAACTCAAACTAATGTTGTGGTGGCTCAGCACTGCATATTGATTTCATTCTACCTTTCTGTCAGGTCATGTTATCTTTCCATAATTTATCCATATTAGTTGTGCCACCTCTTTACGGTAAGAGGGTTACTCTAGATGTAATTTCTCCTCTTCGAGTGCGTTTTCCCGTCTCCATTCTTCCCACCGCTACTCTTTGTCGACTACAAGAAATAATTCCCACATCGACATCCCAGTAAGTAGTAACAATGGGTTTCCCCCAAGCTGTCTAACTGTGGGATCGGCCAGCGCTTCTGTTTTTATATCCGTTTTTCTGGTTAAATAAAAACTGCAAGATTTATAAGAGCTAGAAGTATACTTTGCGCATATTTATGAAAATTGAGATGTGGGTGGATAAAAAGAATTGTAAAAAATAATAATAACAGAAAATGAAAATCAATGTGCCGATTCCAATAAAGATAAGTAAAGTCGGTTTGGAATGTGTCCCCAGTTCTCATGTTCGTATATGCGCACTTACTATCTGAATAATTATCCCCAAGCACTGCATATCATGATGTATGCCACCTCCAATGGTAATGAGTTTTTGTTGAATATATATTTTTTATTGTTACAGACATAAATCTCAAACCAGTGCTGTGGTGGCTCGGCACCCCACTGCATATTAATTACATTGTACTTGTACTTCTGTCAGGTCATGTTATTTTTTTATGATTTATCCATGTTAATCCTGCCACCTCTTTACGGTTAGAGGGTTACTCTAGATTTAATTTCTCCTCTTCGAGTGTGTGATTCCGTCTCCATTCTTCCCACCGCTACTGTTTGTCGACTACAAGAAATAACTCACACATCGACATTCCAATAGGTTAAAAAATCGAGTTTCCCAAAAGTTGTTGTAACTGTCGGCCACTAATTCAGTTTCTACATTCGTTTTTTCTGGCTAAATAAAAACCGGAAGGTTTCTCTGGATTTTTGGACTATTTCTAAATAAACATGTCTATAAGGGCTAAGTGCACATGGCGCATATTTATCAAAAATGAGACTTGAGTAGATCAGAATAGACGTAAAAAAAGAAATTGAAAATCAAATTGCCGATTCCAATAAAGATAAAACATTTGCAGGTTTCCATACACTTTGAAGTGAAGTGAGTTGATGGAATGTGTCTCCAGTTCTCATGTTCGCATATGCGCACTTACCGTATGAATAATTATTCCATAGCACTGCATATCATGATGTCTCCCTGCTTCAGTGGTGTGGTGTTTTTGTTTAACATATATTTTAGATTGTTGTGGCCTTAAAACTCAAATTAATGCTGAGATGACACGGCCCAGCACTGCATTTTAATTTTCATTCTACCTTTCTGTCAGGTCATGTTTTTTTTTTTATGATTTATCCATGTTAATCATGCCACCTCATTACGGTTAGAGGGTTACTCTAGATTTAATTTCTCCTCCTCGAGTGCGTGTTCCCGTCTCCATTCTTCCCACCGCTACTTTTTGTCGACTACAAGAAATAACTCAAACATCGACGTCCCAATATGTAGTAAAATGGAGTTTCCCAGAGGTTGTTGTAACTCTGGGATCAACCACTACTTCAGCTTGATGAACGTGTTTATAGTACACGTGGAGCAAATTTATCAAAAATGAGTAGATCAGAATTAAGAGATGTAAAAAAAAAGAAAGAAAATGAAAATCAACGTGCCGATTCCAATAAAGATAAAACAATTGCAGATTTCCTTACAGTTTAAAAGTGAAGTGACTTTCGAATGTGTCTCCAGTTTTCACGTTCGTAAATGTGCACTTCCTGTCTGAATAATTATCCCACGGTACTACATATCATAATATCTCCCGCCTCAAATGGTGTGGTGCTTTTGTTTAATGTAATTTTTTTAATTGTTACAGACAATAAACTCAAACTAATGCTACGGTGGCCCAGCCTAGCACTCCACATTGATTTCATTCTATCTTTCTTTTAGGTCACGTATATGGTCCAACTTCCAAGCCAATGAACATTATTTGCTTACTNTCTCTCTCTCTCTCTCTC